AGTTTGGAAAGGGTCCAGGTGCTGAGAATGTCGGCGGAAAAGGGTGCCGAGGGAGGAAACGCGGGGGGAGAAAGAAGTGCGGGCGGATGTACAGGACGGTAGGAGGAGGATGCGACATCGAGATCCCATCAAAGAAAGGCAAGAGACCCATCTCGGAGTTGAAGAGATCTGGCGCGCAGCAGTCCTTGAGCAGTTTCTGAGGAAGGATAGGGGCTAGGAGAGGGATGAAAGGAGAAGTAGGGGGGGGGGTAAATATGCACGGTGATTGTTCAAGAGAGTACCAATCCTAAGGGTCTGATATTTTCCAGAGAGGGGGCAGCTGAGTGGCCTAGTTCAAATGCTCTCGGCAGTCAGACGAAGGCATGGGCGAGGATAGGAAAAGAGAGAGGGAGTAGGAGAAAGAGTACTGGCGACAACGTAGAAAACGGTCCAGGAGTAGAGGGGGCACCTGGGTGGCCATGCATTCACCAGTTGTTTTACCTGTTCATCTCAAAATGTAGAAAACACGTAGTTCCGGCGGCAGTTCGTTCTTGAATAGGCCGAGGTGTGTGCTGGAAGAGATAGAAAGGAGGGGTGGCGTAGGAGACGGGGAGCATGAAGTGAGAGAAGAGAGACGACAGACGATGGAAACCGCACACAGCTGTTGGCATAGCTTGCACGGCCATTCATTTCGCCACTACTTGTGACATACCGCTGTATCGCGAAGGACGGATGGTCCATGTAAGACCCAACGAATTAGGGAAACTTTTAACTTCGCCCTCTGTCGTATTCACGAACATGTAGCGTTTGGTAGGGCTTTGAAGGATGTTCATTCTCTTATCGAGCCATGAGGCCTCGATCCACTACTCACCAAATGTGCAAAACGAGAGTGAATCTTCCGCTAGAACATGGAATGATACGCCCCCACAATTTTTTTATTATCTTTTGTGCATGTGGTGAGTCTTGGAGCGAGACCCATACATTCCGGCCGGACGTCCGCCACCGGCATCTATTTACTGTGGTTTCGTTTCAAGTGGCCCTCTTAAATGACGAGAGGGGAGGGGGGGGGRGGGGGGGGGGGGRRGGGRAGAGATGGGGGGAGAGAATGCGTAGAGGCACTATTCCACTAGAGTAATTTGAGGAAGCAAATTTTTGGGAGTTGAAGCGACTGCAAGGGGCCCCAACAAATCTGGCTTTTTTCGCAGAGGAGGATGAGACCGAGCGACTGCCACGTGTCCAGTGCACAGCGGTATGGCTACGTGGATTGCGGAGTGTATTGATATTGATAATAGCTTAACGTGACGATTCCATAAAGGTACGACGACAAGATTTGACAGCCGGTAGCCAGGGGAGAGGGATTGGTGTGACGAGAAGTGGCCGGAGACCGACGTAGGGGGACTCGCAATGCCATGTAAGGTCATGCGAGCAGTGAGAAAAGAGACGACGTATAGCAACTTGCAAAGGAAAGGATTCTCAGAGATAAATATATTTCAGTCCAAATATCTCCGAAATGAAAACGCTCAAGCGCGTGTGGAAATTAATGAAAGGAAGCGAAGGGGCGCGAGGAAACCAAACGGGTAAGCAGCCGGCACTTTCACAGTCGGGTGAAGTCTCGACTAGTCTCGGTGACAGGTCTTGCACGGTGGAGGCGTGTTCCGGAGGGAAGACAATCGGTAAGCAGCCGGCGCTCTCACAGTCAAGGCAATCCCCGACTAATCTCGGTGCCTCTTCTTCCCAGCTGCAGGTGTGTTCCAAAGAGAAGGGAAACTCCATTTGCCCTCTGCAGGTGTGTTCCGGTGCGAAGGGTGGCTCTTCTTGCCCGCCGGAGGTGTCTTACGGTGAGAAGGGTGGCTCTTCTTGCCCGGTCGAGGTGTGTTCGGATGAGAAGGACTGCGTGAAAGCGCCACCGCGCATAGCGATTGACCTCGGCACTTCTTCTTGTCGGGTGGCGGTGTGTCGTGATGGGAAGGTCCAGGTCATACCAGACGTGTCTGGTAAACTATCAACTCCGTCCATTGTCGCATTCACGGACGAGAAGTGTTTGGTGGGCGAGCGGGCACGCAAACAACTGCTGCGGAAACCGGAAAACTTGCTGTACGAGGCGAGACGCCTCATCGGACGGGATTACGATGCGATCCCAGAAGGGGAGAGAAGATCGTGGCCGTTCATCGTCGTTAAGAGAGCATCCGGCGAGGCTATGCTGGAAGTAAAGAGTGAACTCTTGTCCTCTTTGACGAGCAATTCCGGAGATAAGGTTAATAAAGGATCCTCTGTGATGAGCGGTTCTGGAGATCAGGGTGATGGAGTAGCGAATGGCAGAGTCGGCGGAGCGTTGGGCGCGGGGCGGCGCACGGTGGGTCATGGCAAGACGTACTTGGCGCCTGAGCAGATACTCGCGGTGTTTCTAGCGAAGATGAAGAGTGAAGCCGAGACTTTCCTCGAATGCGGCGAGCTGCACAGCGCGGTTATTGCCGTTCCTGCGCTCTACTTCGATAGGCTGCGGTCGGCGATCAAGGTGGCGGCGGAGATCGCGGGCTTCACGGATGTGCAACTCGTCAGCGAATCAACGGCGGCTGCTTTGAGCTACGCGCAGAACAAGGGACTCATCACCTCCGGCTGCTCTGGTGTTTCTCCTGAAGAACAAACTCAAAGCGGCACGAAGATGCTTGTGGTTGCTATGGGAGGAGGAAACTGTGAAGCTGCGATGGTAACGATTACTGGCGGAGAGCTCAGGGTGAACTCAGCGGCAGGCAATCCAAGTCTCGGAGGCATGGACTTCGACCACAAGATGATGGAACTAGTACTTAATCGCGTGCAGCAGCAGTTTAATCGGACTCTCCCACTGAGCAGCAGCACGTTGCGGGAACTGAAGACAGCGAGCGAAAAGGCGAAGAAGGACCTGACCTTGATGACCGACACACAGGTTGGAGCTGAGAGTTTCGGCGGTGATGACGACCGCAAGGTGATCATCGGCCGCGGTGAATACGAGGAACACTGTAAGAGTTTGCTGGAGGAGTGCATGAAATACGTACAAAGAGTCTTGGCGGAAAGCAAAACTCCGATTTCCCTTGTGAAGGAAGTCGTGTTGGTAGGTGGGTCGACCCGCATTCCCAAGGTCGTAGACATGCTTTGGACACACCTTGACTTGGAAYCAAAGCCCCACCCTTATCAGGACGAAGCCGTTGTGCGCGGGGCAGCACTCTTTGCTGATTGCAGCGAGCAGGTTATCGAGACCCATCCCATAGTCATTGCGTGCCGTGGAGAGCGGAATGGTACCTATCAACACATTTACGAGCACGGTGTGAGGCCGACATGCTTCGAATTGCCAATACGGGAGGGTAGTCAATGGTGGGATTTGTCGTCAGAATATTGTGTATATGACCTGGATATACATGAGGGGACAAGAGGTGATACATTATTATACAGACCAACTGGCATAGTAAGCGTGACAGAAGAGAAGAAAGAACGTTTCAGCGGTAGAGAGATGATGAAAATTGATCGATGCGGGATAATGGGGCTTGGCGAGGAATTGGCTTCCAAACGTGCTGTGTTTTATAAAATCGGGCAACGACCTCGGCCTGTGCTCGATAGATGGAAAAAGCTTGCCAAGGAGCTCCCTGTGTACGAGCGAAGAATCGCAGAGATGAGCGCCAGGAAGAAGTACAGCAACGAGGTGGAGAAAAGAGATTCTGCATGCCCGCGCTGGCTCTGGAAAATCATATCAGAATGGATGGGTGAGATCGAGCGATCGCTTGGCAACAAGGCGGACTGTGGGTGGACTGGGATGAACGAATTAACCTCCCGGTTTGCTGAATTCCGAAGGGCGTGCGAATATGCATTCGGAACGATGCGGGCGAGACCAACCAACGTCAGGAAGGAAGTTCTTGGTCGTGGATTGCTGGAAATCCAACGATATTGAGGACTGCTTGTATAATCTTTTCGCGAGCAGGGGCCCAGACCTCTGCGAGATTGTCATCTCCATGCCGCTTAAGGACCTTCTTACAACGAAGGAGCGTACTGCGGAAATGGAGGGAATAGGATTAGCGGCACCCTGCCTTTCGCCCAAGGCGACCCCCAACGCCTTGACGAAGGACGGGATCCCCTACGTCCTGCTCGAGGCAGGGCCCGCCGTAACGAGCTCAGGCGATCCAGAGGATCTCTGCTCGGGGTGGAACAAGTTTGTCGGTGAGCAGGCGTCGCTCGCCCTGCAAGCCGGTCTTCAGGTCGTCTTGCGCCTTGGAAGAGATCATTCTGACGATATGCAAATCCAGAATGAGGCATTCGAGCTGGAGGCGGAGAAGCGGAACTGCGAAATGCAGCTCCGGGACATTGTCGGTCGCATTGGCAAGAATTTTCGAGACATTGCTATCGCTTACCTGCCTCCATCTCATGTGCCATTCTCAGCAACCGGAGCGGTTGCAGCAGAGGCCGCCAGCGTAGAGCCGTGTGACTTAGTTGTGGAGGTGGCTCGGCACATCAGAGGTGTAATTGGGGACCTGGTGAGCGCAGAGGCCGCCGATGCAACACGCATCCTTATCGCCGGATGCGAGACGGCGGACATGTGGCATGCCCTGCTAAGTAGGGGGCATGCGATTGACGCTTTCTCCTTGAGGCGGGCCTTCGAGACCCTCTCCTGTTCGACAAACTCCTCCTCAGCGGGGGACCAAGCGGACAAATTCGCCAGGAAAGGGTCGGCAAAGTGTTGCTTTGTGGGGGGCAAGAGGAAAATGTGACCCTCAGCGAGTACGACATGGTCTGGTTGAGTGCTGTCACTCGCAAGCTTATGGGTAAAGAGGAGGTCCTCTGGATAACGACGAAGTATGTGTTGACTGAGGAGGGCAGTTCAAAAAAGAACATGATCAGCGAGATCGACGGCTCGTACGTGTTGCGCTGGAAGGAGGGTCACATTATGACTGACTACCGCGGAGAGGTGAGAGAAGCGCGAAAGGTGATGGTTGTCCCCATCGTGGACGCTGAGAAGAATAGCCAAGGGCAACAACTAGGAGAGGGGCTATCGATGCAGCTCTCAGCTTTGAGGGAGAAGTTGGCAAGACAAGCTTTTAGTGAATGTCCACATCTTTTTCTCGAGTACAGGCCTGCAGACGGTGTGGACAGCACGCACTCTCTTCTTGCGACTGTGGACAGAACTCACGTCCTCCTCAGGAGATGGGTTCTTGCGAACTTGGGTGCCGAGGCGGCGCAGGATGTGCGCATTGTATGCTTTCTTGAGGAGGGGGTGGCGTCAGACACGCGTCGACAGATTGCCAATCTGCCCAATGTAGATGGGATAACCCTGCGGCTTCCCGCTCGGCGAGCCGTCAGCCGGACCAGTGTTGCGGCCTAGACGCAACTTACATTACATCTTTTTTTTCTTTTTTTTTTTTCCATATCTGGTTCATTATTATTATTATTTTTTTCTTTACAAATCAACTTTGCATTTCATTACAAAAGGAGGCCGGGAATCCCTCCACAAACAACCCGGAAAAGTAACCTCTGGGACCATTACCCAGTATATGGTGCAGGCATTGGGAATTCTAGTCCAGTGGCAGAAATGGCCGAATCCAGACCGCTGCCCTGACATTTCCCAACCCTGGGTTATCTGGTACATTACACCCTTCGCTTCTTTTTCTTTCAATTGAAATTTAAATAAAGGGGTTCTGAAAGCCAGGCAATACTCTAACGAGCATTTACTTCGACTATTTTTCATTCCACGGTGGCAGCGGGGCTCACCCCGAGATGGGGACCAACTTTTGTAGTTGATAAGTGCATCCTCCAAAAGAAGGTTACCCCCCCTTCTGACAGATCCGTCCCATCTGTGCTCAGGTGTACCAGCGGGATCCCGGGTCCATCCTCTTTGGTGTCAGGTGTACCTGCTGGACCCCGGGTCCATCCTCTTTGTTGTCAGGTGTACCGGTCCAAGAGCTCATGTCTAACTCGGCAGTTAAAAATTTAAAGATTAGAAGATCAGGGCACCCCTGGTTCGCCTTACCTAACCAATAGAAATTAGTGAAGCACATGGGTGCCCTAAATTAGTGCTAATCTTTAAATGGATGGAATCTGAACCCAGCTGACATACTGCTGAAATTCAGATTTCTCTGTTTGCTGGCAGCGCGGAACTGTTCTTCAGTTTCACTAATGATTTTGATGCCTTTTGTCTGCCTTTCCAGGTGCTTTTTCACTCTCTGTGTTTGGGGGTGATGTTATACCTGTGAACCACTAGGTGGTTTGACTACATAATTTCATGTGCTAAAAAAAGGTAAGAAAAAATCAGCGTATTTTCATGAGGTGAAATAAAATCTCAATTTGAGCAACATAACAGATCCAGAGACAACGACTTGTTTTCGTACAAAACTTCTGTTCCCGTTCCTCTTCCCTCCGTTGCTTCATGGCAAACACACCGCTGTAGAAATCAGAAATCCGCACCCGGCCGGGAACAGCAACTGGGATAGGGAAAAAAGGGTTTAAGACGACCAGGGTCAATCATGGAGACAGAGCAGAGGGGGGGTTCTAAGGGGGATAATCGGTAGAAGGCGCCCACGCCAAAACCTTTTCGGTTTTGGCTGCCCAAAGTTTAACCGCTTGGTACTACCGGCCCAATGACTTGCATGTGGGGTACTACAGGCCCACGCGTCCCTCCAAGGGCCCTTGTTGTCAGATGACAAACACTTAAGTTGAAGACACCATCCAGTAACTAGGAAGGAACATGCAACATCATGAGCAAGAAAGGAAAGAAAGTGGGAGGAAAGAAAGAAAGGAGAGAGACACCGAAAAGTTATCCCGAACGTGACTGTTCCGAAAATAATAATGACAAGTGAAGTACATTGAAACCAGAAACAGCGAGTGACCCGACCGGTTTCGGCTGGCCGCCGTACTCCAGCACTCATCAGGGGTCTTTGAATCTTAGGATAACTAGCCGACTATTTATGAAGGTAGAAATGGAAACTCTACAAAAGAATCGTAGTTCCCGAGAGACTAAACAACTAAGCAAGTTTAAAGTACCTTCTCTCTGGGAAAACCTATTCCAGACAGTCGACCAAGTTCATGCACAGTATACCACAGGGCAACAACACTAGGCCTATTCACACGATAAGCAGGTCTATTACAGATTCGGAACCGGATACTACATCACTTCGCCAATTACAGAAAGTAACTTTGTCTCACGCCCGAGACCAGTGGCACAAAAAGACAAAAACCTCGTTCCCTTCCAGAGAAATCGTACCAAACCGTGCCACCGCAAAAAACGAAACAGGTCCTAAGTCAAACTATCGTTATCTTCTAAAAAACCGTCTCAAAAGGACCGAGTTAGAAACCGCATACCCTTATGGAAGCTGAAAAACAAAACAAGGTCCTGGATGAAAACAGGTCCCCCTGGACTTATCTTACGGACGGCCAACCTGTTAGCACCGGTAAACAGTCACTCCATAACCCTCGAAACTTATTCGAGAAACTGATCAAAGCATTATCAAAAAAAGCATCGGGATATCCCTTCTTCCGAAGCTCGATTTTCAAAGCGAACAGAAAAGGTAGTTCCATACCCCTAATGGTAGTAAAGGATTGTGCCCGATGAAGGAAAGAGTCAATCACCGCCATCTTCTATAGTCTGTCGGAGAAGGAAGAAAAATGCTGAATGGACTGAAAAACCACACGCGTCTCCATCCAGGTGGATTGGTTTTTGTGCGTAGCCGCACATCGTAATTTTGATCCTTCAGCCAGGATTTTTAACAGACAGCTCAAAAATTCCCAGCTGTTGCCTCCACTTGTTTTTTCCAATGATAGATTAGAGTCATAACAACCTTGAAAGATGCTAATCAAATTCTTGGCCATTGCTTCTGACAACCCACAACCTCTTTTACAAACCACAAAGACAGAGACATCATCTACCAAACGGAAACCTTGGAAGAGCTTCCTCTTAGACCCCAGGGAGGAGAGAAACATGAACTCATTGAAGGCACATAATAAACACGGCAAGGCAGGGCTGGAAGAGTTTCCCATAGGAATACCCACAATCTGCTCCAGCACACACCCTCCTGCCACCACATATGTATGCTCCAACCTCAAATTTAACAAAGCTGCGAATCTACGAGAATTTCATCAATCCCCATCCTTCCTCCGCAACACCTTTCACCAATTTGAAGTCCTTACCACGTAGTCTAATTGAAACAGCATAATAACCCTCACGAGTCCAATAGTCGATTACCCAGTCGAGAGCACGGAGAATAGATAAATAAGGAAGATTAGAGAACATTTCTTTTACGTCAAAGGAAGCCCCGATCAGACACTCATCCTTTTTCATCCGCTTGTTGATGGATCCAATTCGTTGAATGAGGTCTGTAGTCTTCTTGAGGTTAAAATGGTAATCCTCCGGTAGCTGCCACAAAAGTCAGTTAACAGCCTTTGAAACCTTCCTTCCACCCGTAGCTGCATTCTCAGAGAAGGAGGGACAAATAGGGCACCATAGGGTGACGTCCTTGTGCTTTGGGATGCAGTAAGCCCGCCCCAAGGATCCAGGGGAGTTCCATTTTGCTACCCGTTCCAACTGTTTGTGACGATACTCATTCTTACATACATCAATAATATCTGCCTCGTTCCTAATATGTTTTGAAAATGAAGGATTATATAAGAACAACTTACTCATGCCATCGTGGTAGACAGCAAACGAGTGTGTCACCAGCATTATGGTCAATCGGAGCACAGACCAGACCTTTAAAGACAGGTTTCAGAGCATCCAAGCAGTCAATAGAACACTCAATGAAGTCACGAGGAGATCTAGAGATGCAGGAGAGAAGAGAGGAGAAGGAGGAAATAGAAGAAGAGGAAGAAAAAAAAAAAAAAAAAAAAAAAAAAAAAAAAAAAAAAAAAAAAAAAAAAAAAAAAAAAAAAGGTGGATGAAGAAAAAATAGAAGTAGAAGATTCGAAAGACAAAGGGGAGGAGGTCCCGCCAAAAGAATTGAAACAAGAAAGAACATCATGCTTCGCCAAAGCTTCAGGAGACAGTGGTGGGAGAGATTTCAGAGAATGAAAAGAAGATAGAATATGCTTACGTAGGTTACGTAGACTATTTACCGAGGAAGGTCGAAGAATGTTTATTGAATTTTTTAACCACACCGGAAAGAAATCACAATCGTTGATCCTGCACAACACGTGCCCATTGACTCTCATCAAGCAAGAATCAGCGTCTTCACAACCGGAGAGTACCTCGGAAGTTCTTGAATAAGTCGTGAAGTTATGAATCAGATCCCCAACTGTTCTGTTGCGACACCAAACAATCCGAAGTCGACGAATCAGCAAGTCTTTCCATGCGTCTGATATGTTCAAACTACCTATAATTTTAATAGTCAGCCTTCGAACTAATGACTTATTATAGACTGGATCGTATACCAGTCGACTTACCAAGCGCTGCCTCACTTGCACGTCGTGATAGGTAGTGATACCTCGAGAAAGAATACATCGGAGACGGCAACGAGTCCGTTTTTAATGAAAAATTCGAATTGCGGAGAAAGCAAACACAAGCTTATCAAAGCCCCAAGAACCAAGCTTCTTACAGGAAGAGGGTTCACTTCAGAACTTGACCGGAGAATCTTTATATACTAAAGAACGTCGCAAAAAAGAAACAATATGCTAAAAAGTGATAATAATACCATTATCTATCGAAACACGATTTTTTCTAAGTTGACCCTTACCGAAAATGCAGGAGATAGTAGATGTCCCGTACAACCTCTTCAAAACATCCCACTTATCTGCAAGAACTTTGTCTCCTTCGCATACAACAACATAGGTAGTAATACCATGGTCTTTACAATGATTTAAAATACGAAGCAAACTGACAGAAACTACACCGATAGTAGAATGAAATTCAATAAAGGAATTGAAAGACCTAGTCACACAAGTCAAAGACTTCTTCTTCTTCAGCTGGAGTCGTTCTCTAAGACCCTTCCTATACCTTTTGGATTTGCACTTCTTATCCCAAACATTTCGAGATGAGCCAGTAAATCGAATAAAGAACTTTTCGTGTTCCAAGACATCATCCGCAGAACCAACACAGATAGGTACGGCCACATACCTATTAACACCGCATCGCCTAAGCTAGCGGTACAGTTGTTCATTACGATCACCTTTACTAACCAAAGATGGATTGCATACTCTGTAAACATGTTCGCTCCATCTGGTGTGCAGATCCCTAGTAGTACTACCAATGTATGTATGTTGGCACCAAGGAGAGACCAACACGTATACTAAGGGCCCATCACAACGATCGAAATCAAAATCATAAGACAAAAGTGTAGAAAAACACGTAGCAAACTTGTTACCCCATGGTATATGACCATCCTGAGTCAACGCAATAACAGACAGACAAAGAAGAGTGTTAATAAACCGACACCGTAATCGTTCAATAGATAAGTCACGAATGTTGGAGCAATATCTTACTGTCTTCCACAGACGCGCCGCGTTCGGGACAGATCCTAAGAAGTAGCATCATCTGCTCCGTCCGCATTGCCAAGGTCTTCACTGTGATCATCGGAGGTGTCGGTCAGTTCTTCTATCACCACCTCCTTCTGTTTGCCAGGTTGAGGTTCATCGCAGGCCAACCTCGCACGTAGCTGCGCAATTGCTTCTTTAGTCTCATCAAGAACACTGTATGTAACCCCTTCTTTCTCACAGATCTTCTGGATAGCATCTTTCTTAAGATTCTTCTGGTGACCTTCCCTTTGCCCGAGCATTCAGCACCATCGCCTACAACTGCATCAAGTCGCAGCCTCAAATCTATTCCACCTATCGTAACTTATTTCTCCTTCATTCTCGAGTTTCCTTGTTTCTTTATTAAAGCGACCTGCACTCTACTGAGTGCAACCTTCAATTTCTCTATTTCTCTGTCGTTCTCCTCCTTGATTCTCTCACCTCTTGTTCAGCTTCTCTTCTTCTATTGAATTCCTTAATCCGCATTTCTTTCAAAATTTCAACCTCCTCCATATGTCGAGCAACGAGATCGCTGTAATCATCCGCGTTCCTCCTTCGGGCAGTCATAGGCGTAGCCGCAAGTACGCACCTAGGTCTGGTTCGCACTTGAGGACTGGGAGAAGCACCAATCGTAATGCACCCTCGTTTGTTGCCCGGCCGCTAAACTTCCATCTTCCACCCTTCAGCCTCGCTGACCGCTTTTTCCGTGATTCGTTTCAGAGTACGAACTTGCTCCTCCAGGGTAGAAATCCGTCGTTAAGTAGCCTCCTGCGCCTGTCGCTTAGCTTCGTCGTACTTACGCTGCAGCCTCACCGCCTCGTCTTGATCGTTGACCGTGATCAAAGATGATTGAGTGGACGTCGCATGCAACTTCTTCAAATTCTCCACTACGCTCCTCAGCTTGTCAACCTCACAGGACTCATTGTTCTTCAAAGTCTTTGCTTCGTTAACAGCACCCAATCTGGAGTTAATTAATTCCCCTATTTGCTTGTAATGATCTTCTCTGTCTTCTTCTCTTGTTGTCGTCTATCCTCCTCTGCCTTTTCTTGTTGCTTCTTCTCTTCTTCCTCTGCCTTCTTCCTCTCTCGTTCTTCTTCAGCATCGTGGCGCACCTTCAATTTCGCCACAGTTTCCTCCTGAGTCTCAATCCTACGTGTATTACTAGGACCAACCCACCCACCGTGATTGTACTGAGCATTAAAGAAGGAATTAGTAGGCAAGGTAAGAAGCGGTTGATTGACAAGAACGATAGCAGTGCTAGGATTGGCGACGGGTGGTTGTCGGGGAGGATGGGGACAGAAACATTGAATACGACCCGCCTGACCGCAGTTGTAGCAAGCCCTAGCAAAGTTATTGTTCGTAGCCATAGTAATAGTCGAAGCCACACAGTAGTAGTATAACCCCTACTCCGGTTACTTCGCGGATAAAAGTTGTCAGATGACAAACACTTAAGTTGACGACACCAACTAGTAACTAGGAAGGAATATGCAACATCATGAGCAAGACAGGAAAGAAAGTGGGAGGAAAGAAAGAAACGAGAGAGACACCGAAAAGTTATCCGGAACGCGACTGTTTCGAAAATAATAATGACAAGTGAAGAACATCGGAACCTGAAACGGCGAGTGACCCTACCGGATCATGAATCTGGCGCATAACAGCGCCATATCATTTTGATGTAAAAGAGGCAGGGGGTGGTATCGTTGAAGTATCGAATGAGGCCCAAGTACTCGATTTTGAAAAAGAAGGGCCCTACCGGTTTATGAATCTGGCGTAGAAACAGAGCCAAATTCTTGAACCGGTAAAAACAGGCCTTGGGAGATGTGGCCACGGCGCGAAGGCCCCTTTCACCCAGGGGAAAGTTGTTTGGGCCAGTAGTACCAAACGACCGAACTTTGGGCGGCCAAAACCGACAAGGTTTTGGCGTGGGCTCTTTCTACCAATTATCCCGTTCTAAGGCCTCAAGGCAGCGTCAATTCTGGAATCAGGGTATCAGGGCACGAAGGGGACGAGAGGGAGAGGAGAGAGGGAGGGTGGATTGGAACAAGGTGAGCCAGGATAAAGTTGGTTGTTTGAAATGGAATTGAGTAGCCCAACATTAGTCATCTCTAACATTTCCCTTCTGAAGACATCCAAGTGCAACAATCTGCTTTCCAAAAGGTGTTGTTTTCTGAGCCAATACGATTTATTTTTCATTGATCGTGCACATTGGCCTCCCGTTAACCATCTCTCCACACGTGGTTAGACGGGGGTAATATTCTTGGCGAATTTGCACTGAAAGGGTCTCGTTAGACACTCCTAAAAGAATCCTAAAATTTTAAGGATGAGTCCTAAAGGTTTTTTAGGATTTCGTGCGGCGTCGTTAAATGCAGTCCTAAAAATCATCTTTTAGGACTCGTCCTAAAAGGTTCCCCGCGGCCCGTTTTCATACACGTATACGCAGCCGCGCCGCCGATGTCCGTCCATTCCTCGGCGGTGTCCGTGGTACAGAATGCGGTGGGCCTTGGGCGAGAGTCGACGGATCGGTGAAAAGCGCGGTTCCCCAGAACTTCAAAATTTTGAATTCGAATTCTCGCGGACGCGTGCGCCTTGAAAAAGATGGCGCCTCCCTGCCGATGCGTGTGACCTTAAAAATACGGTGCCTCCCTGCCGTTCGCTGTGCGGAATTTATCTTTCGAGTGTACGCAACTTGCGAGGAGCGTGCGCTTGATCGTGTGAGCCGCACGTTCGCCTCCGGCGTGCGTACCGTCCTTTGGAAGCGTGAGGCACCGGAGGCGTGTCCGTCTCGTGTGCCATTGTACAGCGTTGCCATCGTGGACTTCGGCGTTGTTTCTCTATGACGTCACGGTTCCGCGGTGGGCGTATCTGAGGCGGCTGTCGAAGGCGTGACGTGGCAAACCGTGCGAGGATTGGCAGAGATGGACAGTCATGGCTGCTCAAACGGTCTACGCGACGAAGAGATCGACGCAGTGGCGATGGAGGTGACTGTCGTCATCGTGAACACGATGGGCGACAAGGAGTCCTCGTCGCACGACATGCTGACATGGCTCCGGCAACGAAGAGCGCTGTTGCAGAGCGTTGCAGAGGCGCCGGATTGCGGGGCGACGTGTGAGGAAGGCGTCAAGTTGTGTGCCGCGGTGACGTCTGGCGTTTTCCTGCGGCAGACTCCGCGAATGTGAATCAAACGACGGACTGGCGGGACATGGGAGGACCTCCGGCTTTGGGACAACGCAATGGACGAGTACTTCCGGCAGAAGCTGCGCATGTCGACGACCATGTTCAACCACATTGTAGCCGCATGCGCCGCGTACATGGAGAAGAAGGTGACGCACTATCGAATGTCATTGCCTGTGGAGCAGTTGATTGCTTTCGCGTTATACAGGTGGGCGTCCGGAGAGACGTACGAGAGCGGCACGTGAGCATTTGGCATCGGCAGGGCAACTGGACTGCAGGCCGTCCGCGATGTCACTTCGGCGCTGCTGCAGGCGTACCCCAACGCGATAAAGTGGCCAATGGGCAGGAGACGTGCGCAGATTCTGTGCGCTTTCTGCGAGAAGGGTTTCCCAAACTGCTTCGGCGCTATCGACTGTACACACATCTACATGGACAAGCCCGCCGGCGCACCTTTCGAGAACTACTACGACCGCAAACAGAAGTTCTCCGTGCAGGCGCATGTGGTTGTGGATTTGGATTTGCGGATCCTCGACGTCCACGTGGGATACCTTGGAAGTGTGCACGACGTTTGTGTCCTGCACAATTCCCAGTTGTTTAGGCGTGCAGAAAGTGGCGAGCTGTTTGACGCAACTCCGGAGAATCTGCCGCATGGTGTCGTCACGCGAGGCTACCTGCTGGGCGACAACGGTTATCCAGTTGCCTGTTCGTGGATTGTGTCCCCGTACGGAGGAATCGACCAAGGTGCTGACGAGGAACGCTTTGACAAGCGGCAAAAGGTGGCACGGGGGTGTGTGGAGAAGGCATTCAGCCGACTCAAGTGCATGTGGTGTTTGTTCTTGCGCACCCATAAGACGAACCTAGAGACCTTGCCACAACAATTCGTGGCTGTCTGCACTCTTCACAATATCCTCCTGGACGCGAGGATCGACTTCGACGAGAACCTTTTGTGGGAGGTGGATGCGAACAATGTTCAGCGTAGAGTGGACTTGGGCATTGTGGGGAACGGCGCTCGCGGGCGGGGACGGTGCACGAACGTGGAAGGTGAATTGTTGAGGGATGCACTGCAAGACGGCCTAGCTTTGATGTAGGACCGTGTGGTAGGGAGGTGGTGCACACGGGGTGGTTCGATCGGTAGGCGGCTGGAGTTATTACGTGGTCCATGTCCATGGTCATTGTGCGCGTGGTTGGTTGGTCGATGGAACGGCGGGATGATTGTTGTCGACGATTTCAGATTATCGTTTTCATGCTGTTGATGGCTACCTGGTTCGCACAGTTGTGCGAAGTTTTAAGATTGGAAGAACCTTTTTTTTGTCAGTGTGTGTCCTCGTCGTTAGGAGTTTTTGTCTTGTTATATATGTTTCCTGTCTTCAAATCGTTTGTGATGAACGGTGTCGT